AGAAAAGTAAAAAGACATCCGACCACACTAGCGTGCAGCGTGCAGTGTGCAGTGTGTCCGCGTGGCTGACTGCGGTCGTGGTGTCGAGTTGCGGCGCATCTAAATCATTAGTGTGGCGCTAAACCATGACCAAACTCGATATTTTATACTTTAAAATTAATTTTAGATATAGCTTGCATATTAAGTTAATTTTACTAAACTGTAAAAATAACGTGAGCAGTATAAGCTTTGAAAAAAATGAAAGCTTTATACTGATTACGTTTTGGACAAGAGCCCAAAAGTCCACATTTCTTTTTAATAGGCTGAGAAAAGAGAAAATACGAAAATCAAACCCATGCTCTCCAACGGCTGTTATACATCCAAATTAGTATTTGATTAAAATTGAATGCTTAATTTTTTGCGAATGTTTTAGGTATATACATATATCTTTAAAAAGTACCAGGAGAAATATTACGAATATATCTAACAAAATATCGTTGAAAGATAAATGAAAGTATATTACTATAAAAAATGAAAGCACAATTGACTTTTAAATAAAGCAGAATATAGCCAGGATATTTTACTACGAAGTTCCAAGAGTAATAAAATTTAAAGTAGGTTATCGAATATCTTGGAATGGAGAACGGTAAGTTCAAAGGCTGGAGGAAATTGAAATTTCAAGCACGGCTGCCGTCAAGTCGAGCAATCTAATAACATTGCTGTATGAATATGCAATATTCAACATAAGGTGCACGTAACACCGCTTATAAAGAAATTCATGAATTACATGCTTGCTAACTTAAAAATTGTTATTTTTAGTTGTGAAGCCAACAACAAATAGGCCTAAACTTGTTTATCTAATGGGGTGTACGAAAAATTCAAAGCCTGAAGGAAATAGAAATTTCGAGAACGGCTGCTGTTATTGAAGCATGAGTAAACTAATAGTGCACGAGTGGAGCCAAACGTCGCTTGATTGCACAAAACAACGAGAAATTTTTAAACTCTATAAATTATAGCATATCACATAGTTAAATTGGAATTATGATATGTTCCTACTTTGTAAATTGCATTTTATTAGAAACTAATACTTAGATATAAATAGTTATTAGCCAGTGTTAGCCATGTAATTTTTTTTCACCACTTATCGTTCGTATCGTCGTCAATCAAAAATCATGAAAATCGTTCCAGCCTTTCTTGAGTAATTATAAATGGTGTAATTAACACGACTTTATATATATATATATATATATATATATATATATATATATTTACATTAAGCACAATTATAAAATAACAAAGGTATTTATGTCGCATAAATTATGTAGCACGTAGATTTCCTTCTAGATATTTTTGATATAATCGTGTAGGAGGACCTTCGATGTCTATAACTCTAAACCTAAATGCTTTAAATTGAAATTGTCGGTGTTACGGCGGCCCTTGCCTCGGAGAGCACGTAAAGCCGTCGATCCTGCGCCTGATCTCTCACCGGTCTTGTTAAATTGTCGTCCCACCGGACTCCGAGAGTGAAAGGAGTAGACAGTCTACTTGTATTTGCGCACATACTTATGCACTATTGGCTTACCTCGGTGAGCTTGACTGCAGTGCCCGAAAACTGTTAAGAAGACATTATTTATTCAAGACTAGCATTGCCCGCGGCTCCGCCCGCGTTCAGATGACTAAAAACCAAATTCTTAGGTTTTGCATATTAGTATACTTCTACAATGCAGTTTTTGTATTTTTTCTCAAAAATGAGATATTTTCCCGCGGTAAAAAGTATCCTATATGTTGACTCGGATAGCCAGCTATCATCATACCAAATTTCATCAAAATCTGTCCAGTGGTTTTCTCGTGATGTGGTAACAGACAGACAGACAAACAGGCAGACAGAGATTTCTATTAGATTTTCCACAAAATATTTAATGTACAGATTCGACTTAATTACAATTTTATTATATGTATAGTTATAATATAATAAATAAATAAATAAAAGTTTATTAGCAATAACTTTTGACACTAAATTTAATAAACAAAGCACAAAATAAAGCACTTATCACTAAATTATCATTAGATATTATCATTCATATATTTAACTAAAAAGCCACACAATAATAAAATGACATTACAAGCTCAGTATACATTAAAGTTGTAAACATTGATATTCAACATTATTAATATTTTGTTACAAGTACCGCCATAAAAGTAAACTATAGCAGTAGGTAAAGTTAGACTACTGAAAATAATGACTTAAGCCAAATTTTAAATATAGTTATATATATATATATATATATATATATATATATATATATATATATATATATATTATATATATATATATATATATATATATATATATATATATATATATATATTATATATATATATATATATATATATATATATAATATATATATATATATGGAATTGAAATTTCAATCCGGAATATAGAATCTTAAACATTTATCGAAGAACTATTGAGTCTCTCCAATTTCTCTGACTACCCCGCAAAATATAGGTATGTGCGTGATTGTATTCAGCCCTTTTTAACGCTCCACTGCTGGGCACAGGCCTCCCTTCAGTACGAGGTGAATCAGGCTATAGTTCACCACGCTGGCCAAGTGCGGGTTAGCGGACTTCACATGTCTTTTGAAAACTCGCTAGGTTCTCTAAGACATGCAGGTTTACTCACGATGTTTTCCTTCACCGTTAAGACAAGTGGTAATCATGGTGAAAATGATTCACATATGATAATATCAGAGGTGCGATACCCGGGATTTGAACTCGCTTCACTCGGTTTCCAAGCCAGCGCGCTACCACTGGTCTTCCACTGCCTTTATGAGCGGAAACTAAAAACTTGTAGATATATAAAAAGCAATTTGTTTATTTATAAACATTTCTTCCAAATTCGATTTAAAATAAGATCATTCAGAAATCATATGCAAAAGTATTCAATATAGCACAGCGTATGCAATGGTGTTTGGAGAAACAATAAACATACCGAAGCGCAATAATCGAGTTTATGATCGACATTAAGACACTTTTACAGGCTAAATCTAGATTTCTCTTCATGGCTGGACTTTCTAAGCTAACCTAAATACGCGGGCGGAAATTATTGTTTAACTGCTTTCAAATTAAATATTCTTGGTAACCATTATTCATGTAATGTCAATAACTCTAACAAGTACCTATCTGTTTACTAGAACAAAATGCCCCTTCATTTTTTAAATAACTTTCTCTATATCTATAAACTAGTGACTCACCCCCGCGCCGCTCGGGTTAGTCCCCACTTACGTTTTAACGTTTAGTATAGATTTTTCAGAGATGAGATATTTTACTGAAGTATCTATCCTATATGTTTACCCATATAATCAGCTATCATCATACCAAATTTCATCAAAATCCCTCCAATGGTTTTGCCGTGATGCGGTCACAGACAGACAGACAAAAATTGATTCAGCCTCTGTATCGATAATAATGTCTATTTCAAAAAGATTTTCCAAAAAATATTTAATGTACAGATTTGGTTTAGTTACAATCTTATTATATGTATAGATATAAATAAACACATAAGCACAAATAACACAACTAAATCATGAATTGAACAAGAACTTTTACTTCTGCGAATATATTATTATGTACATTTATTTGTAATTCATACGTATTTATAGTTATGATCCTATGCTATATTAAATTAAATTTAGATTCTTACTTGACTGCAACAAATGTATTGATTGATACAATCATATATTTACAACATCTCTTTAATTTGTTCCATTAGCTATAACTAGTGACTTTCTCGCGTATATAATAGGTAGATACGTTTGCATGGTTAATATAGAATAAACTATAGGTACCTATATATGTACTGGTATAGAAAAGTAAGGACTTAACTTAAGTACGTAGTTTAAAAATTAAAAAAACAACTATCGAACGAAAACTATAAACGAAAATTACATGAAAACGATTTCCCATACAAACTTTTATCGCTTTTTTCACCCCCTTAAGGGATGATTTCCGGTATAAAAACTATCCTATATCCTTCCCAAGGTCTCAAACTATCTCAAACTAAATATCATCTAAATCGGTTCAGCAGATTAAGCGTGAAAAGGTAACACACAAACAGACAGAGTTACTTTCGCATTTATATATTAGTATGGATTATTATTATGTCCATGACTTAGGACCTCCGCTTAATGTGAGAGCGCGTAGAATAAGGAGCTCAATTTATATCCAGTCTATTGAATATAATTACGATGTTAGGTGACATCATGTAGAAGGTAATTTTTTACATATATGTTATATACATATATGTAAAAAAAATACCTTCTACTTTGATTTAAATCCAAGTTACAACGTATTTCTTCATTTATACAAGCTCCAGTAGGTCACCAGGTTATAATCCCCGGGGCTAAGTCGAGCTCATTTCTATCGGGTGCAATAGAAAAAGTTACTGGTATTAAAAATTGAGCAATAATCTTTTATTCTGCAGTACATTCTATGTTTTTAAATTAATAGGCTATTTTATATAATAAATATAAGTAAGAGTAGAAGGAGAAGAAAGAGAAAAAATCTGTCTATTTCTAGGCAAAAAACTCGAGAATCTGACTTTTGTTTCAATATAAAATTACGGTATTGTTCAGATTTTAGTATAAATTCAGTAGCCTATTGTATAAGCAATAACAATTTAAGTACATGATTATAAAATATCTTGACATGGGTAAACCCTTAGGTGTTTCAGGGCATGTACGACGCGAGATCGTATCGCTAGTTCATATTCTTTAGCCTTACACATTTTTACTTTCATTAAAGATTATATTTTTTGTTTCAGATTGCCCTCCACCGATTCATCAACCGTCTTTCTATCTATACTTAACTTCAGTTACTTTATCTTTTACGTAACAACAATATGACTTGATAAAAATAATAATATTTATGTGGTGTTAAAATAATAATATTTATTTCGTTCAATTGTGACATTTTTGTTTTTTGTAAAAATTGTGATAAAAGTGACAGTGCAAATCAAAATGGAAGCGTTAGAAAGGAGAGGAAAGCTAATGGCCATCGGAGCTATACTTTTCATCGTCTATTGTTCTCAGTGTAAGTACCTTGTTATTAAGGGCTATTTTTTTTATTTATTTAAGTCAAGTTTTTTAAGATGCCGTAACTAGAAAATAAAAACGGAACTTATGTAACTAATATATTCATGTCCGTCTGTCTGGTCGTGTATCACAGCTATACATGCTTCATTAGTCGAACTCTACAATAACTTTTCATAGTTTCTTTGAGAAATATTACAATATACCAACTTGTTTTTAATGTTTACAGTAAGAAATTATGGGTTCATAAGTATTTTGCTTTAAGCGTAAGCTTTTTGCTGTACGGAACAGTCGATACGATTATATTACAAATAACTTAATTTAATAATAGAAAAATCCACCGTAAAACACACCTATTAGTTGTTCATACAAAATACTTTCTGATTATATTAATTGACTATTGTCTTTATGAGAAAAGCCTTTTCATTCTTATGTGAAATGTAATATAACCTAATACTTTTCGTTTTAACAACTTTTAAAAGCTTACAAAACTTAATTTACTATAACAAGAAGCTTTACAGTAAATTGACGGTATAATAGACTTGCAGAATTTATATACAAGTTGATATTCTAAAAGTGGTGTGAAACCTTCGTAATACAAGTTTATAGTTCAAGCCTTGAATATCATATCGCGAATCCCCAACCATGCAGTAAATGTCAACTGTAGATAAAACCTTGACCGTCTATGGAACTCGCCCACTGGCTATTGTTAAAATCTCTTAACATGTATATTTAATAACATTATTTATCTATAATTTCAAATTCATACCTTTGATTTCATAATTTATTAAATTTATTTAAAATTTTCAATGTAAAATATATTCTGCGCAGCACTAAAATGCAAATTCAATATTCTATATTGTGCATGTTTTATGAAAGGCAAATATTACCTAACTATAGCATATTCTTCTAAAAATTATAGTTGAATTTATATTTGGAAGCTTGTACTATAGTTTTTACTCGTAAATTATGAACTACTTTTCTCTTTAAAGAAATCTGTGTGGAAGAGTAGGAATTTAGATTGTTCTTTAGAAAAATATAGTATAATTTTAGACAATTCGTGGGAACTACAAAAACAGAACCTGAGACTGAGATAAACATATTCTCTCTTTACATTTTTATCACGTTTAGTTCCGAGAAATATAACAATGAGATTTGCATTTTATTAACACAGAATCGCCATGCAATTTTTTAAACAACGCGTTTTTTTATATACTATATGTTAAAAGACATACTAAAAATTCAAAAACTCCGAGTTGTACAACTTTTTCTTAATTATATAAAACCTCGCCTTAATTTCCATTTTTGCATCCACACTAAAAAAAATTTAGTTTTTGGGGGTAGAATTTGTAACAAATTATTTTTTTGATTTGAATATAATTTTTTTTTGAGTAATCTTTAAAAAATTCAAGAATTAACGAATATTCATTTTCTACTCAGCTTTCACTGTAAAACAAAAAAAGTAACAAGTTATTTTTTAAATTTTTTTAAAATCACAATAATGCGATATTACAAAAATTGCAATTTGCAAAAAATTTCCTCAAAATTTTAAAAAAATGGTTTTTATATGATACAAATTCTACCCCAAAGCTAAGAAAAAAAAATATTTGTTTTCGCTCTACTCTAATTCATATTATGTTACAGTACCGTAGTTGATCCTAGCTTCAAACAGACATCATCAAATCCAAGCCAATAGACACTAACAAACAAACTCATTGCGCTACATTTTTAGAAATATTTTAATATTATATCTTTAATAGGTAAAGGTGTTGAAGGCAAGAATCACACAAAGATGTCATATGTATGTCCACCGAAATTCATACGACTGGGACACAGCTGTTACTTCTTCAGTGAAAACAAGGCTACGTGGCAGACTGCACTCTTCTCTTGTAAGGTAAGCTAAATATATCGTCATACATTTATTTGGTTAGGTTTTAGGTACAAAGTTGGTTTATATACGTTATTTTTTCTTTAATATATTTTAATTTAAGGCATCGATAAAAATTCTAGTTGAGTTCCAATTTACATGTAATTAGGTAACATTCAAACAACAAGAGCCATGAAGCCCTCAGAAAACATGACAATCTGAAACCGTTTTGGGAAAACGAGACGGGAAAAGTTTTGGAAAACACCAAATTAAAAAATTGATAAAGCCGGCTTTATCAACTTTTTTATCTCATAACACTACAATTATTTGACATTACGTTAAAATTAAGATCTAACACTAACACTAAACACTAAATATAATAAACTTAAAGCTCGTTCGTTTTATTCTTTCATTACCTCTTTCTGTCAGGTCAGTAGGTAAGAAAGGAAAATAACAAATTGTGTAATTATTTTATATTTGAAGATCCACTAAACAGCCCATTAATTTAGACTTGAACCAAAATTTACATATTTGACCCTAGTGTAACTGCTATAAATATTTCGCACATTGCGTACACAGTCCCCGCTATTAATTCATTTAGTTTAACTATCAATGTGATTAGGATTTATTGCCATCAACAAGTGGTACGGCCTTAACATTACAAGGAAGCTCGTTTTGACACATGCTTAGTAAGCCAGCTGCTGGCAATTTCAATGATTTTCTATAACAATTTATTAAGAGACGACGTACTAATATGCACTTATATACTAGCATTGCCCGCGGCTCCGCCTGCGTTCAGATGACCAAAAACCAAATTCTTAGGTTTTACATATTAGTATACTCTTACATTGCAGTTTTTGTATTTTTTCTCTGAAATGAGATATTTTTCCGTGGTAAAAAGTATCCTATATGTTGACCCGGATAACCAGCTATCATCATACCAAATTTCATCAAAATCTGTCCTGTGGTTTTCTCGTGATGCGGTAACAGACAGACAGACAGACAGACAGACAAAAATTCTAAAAACTATAGATTCGGACTCTGTATCGATAATAATGTCTATTTCAATTAGATTTTCCAAAAAATATATAATGTACAGATTCGACTTAGTTAGAATTTTATTATATGTATAGGTTTTTTTTTAATATCACAGTTTAGCCTTTTATTCATTTATTTTAAGGCTGTATGTGAGGAACTATAAGGAAGACGTACTTAGGTTCTTTAACCTATAAAGACAATGCTTGCTAATCTTTGTATTTGGAATTCAGAGATGATTTCAATGTTCGTGATGAGTTTTTTTCAATTTAATAATGTCGTTTTTATTTAATATATTTTTTGAATTTGATGAATGGTAAATTAAAACACGACAATCTATTAACAACATACTTATTACGATACGATATGATTTATTAGATATTTCAAACTTATTTTATAAATATTGAGAAATGTTTGTATCAAGATCACCTGTACTATTACTACTGGGGACCTAGTTAATTAGTAACGCAACTTAAAAAATGACCGACCCAGATAACTAGTTCTAAGCAAAACGTCCCTTATGCAAAATACGATAATTAATATAAAGTATAAACACTTGTTTTTTTCATAATTTAAAACATATTGTTCATACTCACTTATACTATTTATCTACAATTTCATGACAAAACTTTCGAAATTAGGCTGAGGAATGACTCGTGAATACCGTTTACATTGTAAAGTAAAGTCGACTCACCCCACCCTCCCTTCGCTCGAGTTCGTCCCTAGCTTGATTCCCCATACAAACTTACATTCCCATTTTCACAACCTTAAGGGATGATTTCTAGAATAAAAAGTATCCTATGTCCTTTCCAGGGTCTCCGACTATCTTCTTACCAAATTTCATCTAAATCGGTTCAGTAGATCCAGAGATTACCCCAACAACCTCGCAAACTCACAAACTTTACCTCTTTATAATATTAGTATAGATAACTTTTTTATATAACGCTGTAAATTTAAATTATACGTGCTATGCTTAATTATTAAAAAAAATATATAAAAACTCTTACACGTTCATTATTTACATTTAATACACCTATGATTTGTCTCTAATTGGCAATACATGCACCATAACAGTATAGTATTATATATGCAAATGGGAGTAATGAATGGTAAGCTGTTTCGCAAGAGAGTGACAAGCAAAAAGTAGACGTAACGGTATAAGATTTGAAATTATGACAAAATTCTTTAGATTATAATTATCTTATTTATACGATAGGATATGACAGTCGATGAGCAGATGTCATGCCATAGACGTTTGATCCGAAAATAAAAATATTTCTAGTTTTCGACCGCTACAGCAACGCTATTACCCGGTTCTAACTATAATTAAGAACTATCCAAGTGAATAAGTACTATAAAAGTGGAAATGACTAAGCGTTCACAAAAAAACATCAGAATCGGCTAAGCCGAGGTTAGAAATAGAAGAGAAGAAGAACACTCACTGGAACTTCATTTATAAAGAAGTACCTAAGTAGTACTTTACTCATAGTACCATTAATGATTTTTTCTCGGCCTGCCTCGGTGGTGTAGCGGCTAGCATGTACAGCTGCACACCCGGAGGTCCTGGGTTCGAGTCCCGGGTCGAGCCAAGTTTAGTTATTCAGTCTTTCTGTATAGTAAGCCTCAGTAACAGCCCGGAGTTGGGAAGTTGCCGGTGTTTCATCCCCGTGCCTCGGAGAGCACGTAAAGCCGTCGGTCCTGCGCCCTAACTCTCACTGGTCGTGTCGAGTGGTCGTCCCACCAGAGTATGAAAGTGACAGGAATAGAGAGTGCACTTGTGTCTGCATGTACACTTGTGCATTATAATATCTCCTGCGCAGTTGGCTAGTCTCAATGAGATTGGCCGCCGTGATCGGTCGGGAGAACATCAATGATTTTTTCAGTTAAACCTACCATACGTCTAAAAAAGGATTGTAAAAATCCATGATATTACGACTATTATAAAATAATTCAGGAAGTCTGATTACATATTAAATATCATCTAAATAGCCGACGCCAATAGGATGTTTTTATTGGTAGGTAGCCAAAACACCAGCTCTAAATATTATGTTTACTTGTGAAAATAAAACCACTACAATATAACGTTGCTACGAGTAGTTTTTGCCGTGCAGTACTATAATATTTTTTGTAAATTTTTGCCCGCGGCTCCACTCATGTAAAGTAGAGCTTTCTATTAGTGTGCTAGTAAAATATTTGAATAAGTGGAATATTTTCAAAGAATTTTCATTTTCTATTTCAAAAATAATTGAGCTCTTCATTCATACTAATATTATAAATGCGAAAGTAACTCTGTCTGTCTGCCTGCCTGTCTGTTTCCTTATCACGTTTAATTCGCTGAACAGATTTAGATGAAATTTCGTATGGAGGTAGTTTGAGACCCTGGAAAAGTCATAATATGGTTTTTATCCCGAAAAGTTTGGAAGTTCGTATAGGAAATGAATCATTTCTCAAGTAAGGTATATATATTTTCTATTTTTTAAAGTACTTAGCAATTTTTCTATACCTATGTATATTGTATATACAGTCTATCTACTCCATACTAACCGATAAAGCCCCTGAAAACCGTTTAAGTCCCTGGAGACGAACCCGAGCAAACAAGAGTGAGTCGCTAATAAGATTATAATTATTAATTTTTAATTACTTAGTAAGGTTTATTTTCAAACAATATACGTAACTTTACAATTAACATATATAGTTTTCTCGTCTAGTCTGTTTCATAATAATTCTTCTCTTGCAAATTTAATAGCGTGAACTCTAATTAAATCAAGATATTTAAAATGTAGAGTCAATTACATAGTCACAACTTTATAAGGCGTTTAATTATAATGTCAACTCAAAAAGAATTATTTGCTTATACTGAGTAATTTACATATGTTTACCATATTAGCATTCCACCGCGATAACGGAATCTGTTAAAGAAACAAATATTATGATTTTAATTTGTTCTTATGCATAGGTGGCATTATGGTACTGGTGAACAGCAAAAGCAATAAAATTAAAAAAAAAACACAATAAATTAGCAAGAAGTAGTGAAATAAGATATATCAACTAAATAACTTGGCGAATTTTTTCTTACACTTGGGAGTAAATTCGTAAATAAATATGTTGGTATGGGAAGCACACAGCAGCATCTAGTTCCATGGTAAGTTACGGTGCTTGTGTTATGGATACCAGATAGTTGATACATTATACATATATAACTTTGAATGCATACATATTATAAATATAAACACCCATAACTGGAGTACAAACATTCGTCATCACAGCGGGAGTCGAACCTACGACCGCTGGCACAGCAAGTAGGGTCACTACAAACTGAGCCAAACGTATCGTCAAAGTGTAGGAAAGAGACTACTAAAGAGATTATAATATTATAATATTATTTTACTTGCCTTACCTATTCATCTCCAAAAAATCTAATATAAAAAGGCTATCGCTATACTATATATTCTCATGAAATTATCATATCTCCTATAAAGGGCTACTGTGTAGTGAAGCAGTATCTAACTAATAATATTGATTGAAAACAATCAACATCTGACGGTTTTAATAAATATGGTAATGCGTTGAACATAATTTTCTAGTGAAGTGGTCAATCATTGTTGCAAATACATGAATAAACAGTATAGCTGCTACGAATGTAAATTACATATATAAGGTTACATTTGAATATTGCTGTAGTCCTTAGTAAAAGCTACCTTAATACTCTTAACATAATTTTTTTTAAATAAAATACAAAAGAATTTAGGTGTAATTTCTTTCATCTGTGGTGGGAAATGTTCTGAAATTTATAAGACCGCCATTAAGGATAACCTGTTTATTAAAAAGTATAATTAAATTCTATATCTATACATATAATAAAATTCTAAGTCGAATCTGTACATTAAATATTTTTTGATAAATTTCATTGAAATAGACATTTTTATCGATACAGAGGCCGAATCTATAGTTTTTAGAATTTCTGTCTGTCTGTGACCGCATCACGGAAAAAC